GCTCGTATGCTAATAGAAACCCATTAAATTTGCGTACTATTCATTCGGGTAAATTGAAAAGCTAGAGATAAAAGCCTAAGGGAAGGACAGAGTAAGTAAAGAACTTAAGAGATACACTTGCCAGAAAATCACATTTACTTCGCAAAAAATGCGAATATACCATGATTCCGATGGTCCAGCATTTATAAAACAACATAATTACAAGCTTGCCATTTTATATGGGCTGGGGATTATTATATCCGTTACTCGTAGTGCTGAAGTTTATTTCAAACCAAAGCCACACCCACTTTAACGCCCACAAACTTACATTTCCAATATAATCATCATTTTCAAAATCAAAATTTTTTTAAACTATGGTTTTCTACTAGAATTACAAACGTTAGCATGGTTACATGGTCGCAACAACACAGTTTTGGGGTTCTCAAGGCAAACAGGTTCATTTGAAAAATTGCACTATCGGACAATTGACTTAAATTATAAACATTTGAAGGAATTGACGAGATTTGGAGGTCCTAGTTGACCGCTTGAATACGAACATGTTTAAATTAAATCAAACTTAAAATTATACCAAAAACTGATTTTTAACCTACTGTTTCTCGAAGTAATTTAGTATGGTAAAAGCGGTAAATACAAACATTTTACGAAAAGCACATGAGCAAGTTTGTTACATTTTAGCATTTTTTCGATTCCGGACGTCTTTTTGATTGGTTCCACGGAGTTTGTTAAATATTTCTTCCCACAGTTAAGCCAGATCAGGTCCTCCTCAGTATTTCAACGTTTTTATATATTATTCAGTGTAATTTAGTAATTAAAGGTATAAAGGTTGTAGTTGCTCAGTTCCTGGTCAGAATGCTTCTGCATCTCGTCCGCTCGATCCAGACCCAGCAAGCCTCGCTTTCCGGCGCTGCTTGTAGTCGGCGTCGGCTTTATCGACACAGCAGTTTTGTTCCGTTTGTGTTTGTCGTTATTGTAGGTATTGCAACTTTCGGCCGCCGTGTCTTGCGGCTGTACTCCTGGAAGTTCTGGATTGTCGCCGGCCCGAATCTGCTTATGTTGGGTGATAGCGGAAGCCGTGAATGTCAACGGCACTTGGAATGCTGGTAGCGCTTTGGGCAGTCACTGGATATTGCGACAGCGCTTGGCTTGTGTGGTTTTTCACGGGGGCGGGGGAGAATTTTTAGAGTTCGTTTGACAGTAACAGTTAACGTCAATTTCCTCCACACTTTCGGTGTTTCTAATTAAAATATAACAGTAAAATACATGAATAATATTGCAACAGCACAAAAAAAATCATGAATCGGACTATATGTGTCTTATAGACATCGGTGCGCTGAAAGCGATCTACTTGAAAATGTTGGCCAAAAAGGAACAGATGTACATTTTCTAAAGTGCAAGAAAGGTCTGTACAACTAATTGTGTCGCGCCAAATATTATCCTTTCACATACATAGAATGTATGCACAGGTTCGCCCAATTTTTTTGTTGGAATTAAAAAGGAGTAAATTAAGCAAAGCTTAAAAAATATAATGTATTTTAGAATAAAATCAATGTTCCAGTGCCGTATTAGTGGACTTTTTAAATGTGCCTGAATCCATTGGCGCATTAGCATTTAGATATTGCTACTCCGACATGTGGGCTGATCTGGTTTTGTTTACTTTTGAATTGTCGCAAATCAAAACGAAATGAACTATAAATCATGAAAATGAGCGAGGTTTCGGAAGTCTTTAACGACCAGCAGGACGTCCACAATGCGACCGATGCATTTGTCAGCTTTGGATAATAAGGAAGGGGAGCTCATGGTGATGTTTGACGGGTTTGCAAAAAGAAACTACCAAAGTTTCTAAAAAAGAACAAGGATCACCTACGCGGTGGTATTTTTTTTCCTTCCAGAGATCCAGCAACACATCAAAGGACCTAAAATTGATTTCTTTGGTGGTGCCTAAGAGTAGGCTATACCAATATTGCAATATTGTGCTTACAGTTATGGCTTTGTGTCCAAGTGTGTTCAGTAGGAAAAAGAGAAAATAAAACATATAAATAAATCAAGAAAGGAAGCAAACTTCGGCAAGCCGAAATTCATATACCCTTGCAGCTATTGCAAAAATTAAAAATTCTTGAAAACATTAAAATTATGATTTACATGCGTATATGTTTAAAACATTTGATGCATGATGATTTGCAGCTCAATTATTCGATAGTTCCTATGGCAGCTATATGATATCGTTTTCCGGTTTTAATAAAATTAAAAGCTATTCTGAAATATCAAATTTATAATAAGTCAAAAATAATTTAAAAAAAAATAATTAAAAAATAGAAAAGTTACATTTAAAATAAAAATTGCTTGTTTTTTCAATATTACTATTGTTTCTATGGGAGCTTTATGTTATAGTCATCCGCTTTAGATGAAATTTAATCCGTACTTCGACAAGCCGAAGTTCACATACCCTTGCGCCTATTGCAAAAATTAAATATTCTTAAAAACATTAAAATGATGATGATTTGCAGCTCAATTATTCGATAGCAGCTATACGATAGAATTAAAAGTGTATTTCTGAAATGTAAATTTTTTAAAAACTAAAAAAAAAAAAAGAAAAGTTGTATTAATTTTAAATTTTGTTTAAAATATTTGTATTGTTCCATGGGAGCATAAAGTTATATTCTTCCGATTTTGATGAAATTGTAACCGTAATTCTAAAATATTTAACCATTACTATATGTCGAATAACTAAAAAAACAGCAAACTAATAATTTTATTTCATTGTTTTTCCGATTGTTCCTATGGGAGCTTTATGCTATGATTGTCCGATCCGGCTTGTTCCGACTTATGCACAACCTGCAATAGAAAGACAACTTTGGGAAATTTTGCAGATAGCAAATCCCACTCCCGCTGCATCGGCAGCTTTTGTGTAAGACGTACTCCGTCTGCATTGATGATGCTTATCATGAAAAGCAGCTGCGTATCTTCCTAGGATTTTGGTAATTTCGGATCCGACAATGATTTTGGGATAGGGCCTGAACATTTTGCACCTGCTCTGCACTAGACTGGCCTTTCGGCCTTTTTGGTCCTATATGGGCTGCCGTGTTGGTGCTGATGGAAACATCGATGTTCCACAGTGGTGCTAGACATATGTAAATAATTGCATTTTTGTAGGTGCTGACAGAGATTATTGTTCACTTAAAAACGTTTCGCTGCTACCAAGGTGCCAAGCTAATGCTTGAAATATCGTTAAAGGAAAAAATATTAAGTCCATGATTGTTTGGTAGTATTAGCAATATTTACTTACTTTATATTGTCTTGACATCTAGGAATTGATTGTATTCTTTTTCCCAAGAACAGATGTGACTGAACCAGTGTTGGAACACATGTTGCCTTGTGCAAAATACTTTTATTAGAAATTAAAACATGAATAGCAGCAAACTTCGGCAAGTCAAATTTCATATACCATTGCACCTGTTGCAAAATTGAATTAGTCTTAGCATTGTGGACAATTATCGAATTCTGAACTATCAAATTAATACTATGTCAAAGAGAATTCAAAAAAATGTTTAAAAAAGAGAAGTTATATTGTTTTTAATTAATTGTTTTAATGTTTTGATTGTTCCCATGGGAGCTATATGATATAGTGGTCCGATTTTGATAAAATCCAAAACGTAATTCTGAAATATTTAACTATTACTACGACTTGAAAAACTAAAAAAAAAATTAAAAACAGGCATGCTATTTTTTTTTAATTTATTTTTCCGATTGTTCCTACGGGAGCTATATGCTATACATGTCCGAAGCACGGACAGACGGATGCTGATCAAAAATATATATACTTTATCAGGTCGAAGATGTCACCTTCACTGCGTTGCAAGCTTCTGACTGAAATTATAATACACTATATAAACACTCTGCAAGAGTATATTTATGCACTAACAATATTTCTGGCTGGTGGGTTTTGCTCTTGTATATGTACTGACGGTTTAACGGGTCTTGGGTTTAGGCCGAGAAATGTTTAACCCAAAAAACAAACAACGATATCCGTCTGCTGGTTGGAGGACCTTTTTTCGCAGACGACTGATATCAGTTTATCTTAACTTTTTGTGTTGCCAGTACGGCAGAGTGCGGTTTCCCGTCATAGAGGGCGCGAGCTGATTTGATTGGCTGCACTTGTTTTCTGTTTATTTCTTTTAGAGAAGCTTCTATTTTTATGTCACGAAGCATACTTTTGGGATTCCATGAAAGAGATCCAAGAAGCCCTTCTTAAAGACAACAGACTTAAGCTTTGGGTGCAACAACAACGAGAAATGTATAACCCAAAAAACAAACAACGATATCCGTCTGCTGGTTGGAGGACCTTTTTTCGCAGACGACTGATATCAGTTTATCTTAACTTTTTGTGTTGCCAGTACGGCAGAGTGCGGTTTCCCGTCATAGAGGGCGCGAGCTGATTTGATTGGCTGCACTTGTTTTCTGTTTATTTCTTTTAGAGAAGCTTCTATTTTTATGTCACGAAGCATACTTTTGGGATTCCATGAAAGAGATCCAAGAAGCCCTTCTTAAAGACAACAGACTTAAGCTTTGGGTGCAACAGTGTGTTAAACTGTATTTTGTGCAATATAGTAATAACAGTCTCTGCATATATTGTAAAATAACATAAAAAGGAAACGATAACCCAATCGACGCGGAAGCGAACCCATAACACATAAAAAACTTAAGGAGCAAAAAATTGAAACAAAAAAGTTTATAACTTCCCTTTTTGGGTTTGAAATTATTTTTGTTGCTAACTTATTATTGTCATAAATACGATCCACAGTCTTTATTTGCATATACATTTGGCTAAATTAACTTGTTATTACTTGTAGGAAATAAAGGCAGTGAAAACACCTTATCTAAAATTGTTTAAGAGTTCTATTCTTGTAATTCATACAAATATACCTTCATATCTACTGAACTCAATTTTAACGGTCAAAACTGTAGTTTTTTTTTATTAATACAGTAAATTTTTTTATTTTCAGAATTTATACGTAAAAAGTTACCATTTAAAATTATCCACCGTGTCGCTAATGACAATATAAATGATTTTCTTGGCGGATGGATGGACAACAGAGTAAGAGCTCTAATTTTTGAACCACGCAGTTTGATTAGGCTCCGATATCTACTAACCGCCTTTGAATTCTACGACCGCGTCGCTTTTGGGTAAGATCTCTTAGTTATATATTTTGATGACAAATTGAATTTTTTTAATTCTCTCAGTTTTCCTTACTGTACATAAGTATTCGTTTATCATATTTGTTAGTACAGTCGGCCGACGATATCGCGAACGAGTCACCGAAATTTATCTCTTATTTTTTCGTTAGTGATAGTAGTGCTTGAAAATTTTAATTTACCCGGATAAGAGAAAAAAATACAAGACAAACACAAGGGGGACAGCTATAGTCGAGTTCCTGGACTTTAGATACCCATTACCCAGCTAATAATTATCAAACAATTTTGTTATAGCTGCGCCATCTGCCGAACTGCTTTGACCATACTACAAGCAAAGAGCGATCTTATGCAAAGCAGCGGCTGTCAGCACACGCAAATTGACAAGTTTCTCCCTGCAAATTACTCACACAAATTAAGTGATAGTATTTATTAGTATGTGTGCTCTCCGCTGCTCAAACAGACAGACATACTGTTTCTTTCTCCAACGATATTCATGGCATAAACCTTGCGGCTCCTGGACGACTTCTTGGGGTTTGGGACATTCCTCTGAAAGGGTTAATTAAAAAATCTATATTATATATATATATGTACGGATCTACCTGTGTGAGAAACTTCATGCTCCGGACAAAGCTATTTCTGTACATAAGTTCATTATTATGCAAAAGCGTAATATCTCTTCACTTAAAATTCGTATCACTGATTTCTATTTCTCTAAAGCTGACTGTCTCCATAATGATCAACCACGTGGCTAAAATTTAGCAGCTTGAAACATGGCTAAACTATTCTGTTTCCGATCAAGAAATATTTTTTGATAAGTTTGATACACATAGAATTGACCGCATCTCCCTGGGTGGTGGCGTATTAATTCACAACTCACTTTCATCGGAGCTTTTTCCTCTCGAAATCCCACATTCCATTGAATTCGTTGCAGTTAAAATTTATATCAATAATATTAATATTTACATAGATTGCTCTTACATTCAGTCTATTAAAACACATGTCCGCCATTTAATTTGTATCTTTTTCTTTCGCCAATGAGGACCACCTTATTATAATAAGCGTTTTCAACATACCTAACGTGTTTTGGGTTTCTTCAATCGACTCCAATTTCATTTTTATCTAAAAACCAACTTTGAGGAGGACTTTTCAAAGTATGCCACGGTTGTCACACAACCGGACTGAATCATCGTCCTTAAACATTTCTAATCGTTTTGCAAACTTTTTCAGTCAACCAACTCTCTACAATCATATGACTGCTCCACTCCCTATCCTTATGATCTGCCTTACATCAATGTTCTTAATGTCCTTCCGTCACTGGAAGGCCCTGTTAGCATTCCTATCTGTGTAGTAAAAACTGTGTTGAATCTGTCTTGGCCAATCACTTTTTATTCAACTTATCTTTAATATTTTTAGAGTTCCCAAAAATTTGCAATGAATCTTTATTATTCCAATTCATAAAAAAGGTCAGTTGATCACTTGTCAACTGCCACGTATGTGTGCCTCTATAACTTCTCCTTATTAAATGCGAAAATTTGTTGTTGACTTTTTTACTGTCTTTAGCTAGGCGTTACATTCAGTAAATTATAGCTTTCTCCCTCATAGACTATCTCTTCTTGGTTTCCCACAAATTTTACTTAGTTGGTTTTTTGTCAAACAGAACTTTCAAAAGCTGCTCAAAAATCAACATTTTTCTGTCGTAAATGTTTTTTCTGGTGTCTCCAAAAATGGCTTCTGGATCCACTACTTTTCGTTCTTTTTATTAATAATCTTCCAAAAGGCGTACGACGTAAAAATTTGGCTATCCTTCTCTTACCAAATGTCATACCTTCGCCTACAGTCTGTCAAACATAAATTAACCATTAGGTGGCCTAAAAATTTGTTGGTTCTTAGCTACGTTAAATGAAAGGAAGTGTCCTTCTATCGTTCAGCTTACATACACTCTTACCATCTTGGAAACTCTACTTTAGAACTGATCTAGAAGACCTATTTAATAGCATATTTAATTGTATGTTTTAAAAGCCATATTTCTGTCACCATTTGAAAACTAAGGGTGTTTTAGCCTTCATAAAGCTTTGAGCCAAGGACTTTGACGACCCGTGTACAAATCTGTACATTTCCATGCGCATGTTTATGGAGCCCTCAATATATAAATCAACGACAATTAATTGAACCAGTCCAAAAGCAATTTTTATTAATTGCTTTTCGACAGGTGAGGCGTTTGCCACCTTATTCATCAAGGTTAAAATAAGTTGATTTACAGTCTTTAAAACATCGCAGAATGTGCAGCGTAGTAATTTGTTTTCTTTAATATTGACTTCGCTGTTTCTTTTAGTTTTACGCGTACATTTCGCCTATTCACTTGCCAATTTGTAGATCCAACTTTGCCCTTCATAAGCCCTTTCGGGTGCTTTGTACAAATTATAATGCAAATTAAATATAATGTGGAAAATTCTATTGAACGTGTTTCAGCAAACATTCATGCTTTTCTTGAATCATCTAGTATTGAATAATTTTGTGCCTTAAGTAACATTATTTTAGTAAATAACTTTGCAGGTATAAGTTAGTAGTTCATTGCCGCTTGTATCTTCTATGGACGTCTTTAAAGAAATTCTTGAAGGTTCCCCTTATTTCCATTAACTTTGCTTACCCGCTGCCATCGTATTTCAGTAGATGTCGCCTCGTTCTTTTATCCAGTCTTGAGGACCATAAGAATATTCTGTCATTACTTTTTCGGAACGATCTAATAACTGATTTTTGCGGACGAACTGTCGTTAAATAGCTTAGCAGGATTCTGCTTTCTTACAACAATCTACCTGTAGGCATGCGGCTAAGCATCAGCCGTAATAAAAGGGCGATTCGCAAATTCCTCTCTTAATATTGCTTTAGTAGTTTACCTTAAGTTAATATTCTAGTAGCCAATAAATAACATGAAATAGTTGACAAATAAATAAACAAGAGTTATGGAAAAAAAGAGTTTTTGGTTATTTTTCAAAATAAACAATTCATGTATGAATCAAAGTTACTTCCAGTCGAGCAGGCTGTCGTCGAAGTTTATATACCCTTGCAGCCATTGCAAAAATAAAAACGTTATTCTGAATTTTTAAGCCATTTATATGTCTAAAAGAATTAAAAAAAAAAATTAAAATGAGAGAAGTAACAATTTTTTTAAATGTGTTTTTTTTTTTAATATTCGGATTGTTCCCTTGGGAGCTATATGATATAGTCGTCCGATTAATCATATTTATACCCCAATTCCCAAAAAAACAACCCATCACCAAATATCCAAGAACTATACAAAAACAAGAAAGGAAGTAAACTTCGTCAAGCCGAAGTTCATATACCCTTGCAGCTATTGCAAAAATTAAATATTCTTGAAAACATAAAAATTATGATTGACTTGCGTGTATGTACATTGAAGCTATTTAAAGCTTATTTCATAGTTCCTATGGCAGCTATATGATATCATTTTTCGATTTTAATAAAATTAAAAGCGTAATTCTGAACTGTCAAATTATTAATTAATCATAAAGAATTTTTAAAACAAATTAAAATAAAATGATAAATTAAAAAAAAAATGTTTATATAATTTTATTGTTCCCATGGGAGCTTTAAGTTATAGTCGTCCGATTTTGATGAAATTTAAAACGTAATTCTAAAATATTTAACCATTACTATATATCGAAGAACTAATAAAAAAATTAAAAAGCACCAAAATTATAATTTCTTTTTCTTTATTTTTCCGATTGTTCCTATGGGAGCTATATGATATAGTCATCCGATTTTGATAAAATTTAAACCATATTTTTGAAATATTCAACCATTATTATAAGTCGAAGAACTAAAAAAAAATTAATAAGCACCAAAGTTATAATTTGTATACCCTTTATTTATCCGATTGTTCCTATGGGAGCTATATGATATAGTCATCCGATTTTGATAAAATTTAAACCATATTTTTGAAATATTCAACCATTATTATAAGTCGAAGAACTAAAAAAAAATTAATAAGCACCAAAGTTATAATTTGTATACCCTTTATTTATCCGATTGTTCCTATGGGAGCTATATGCTATAATCGTCCGATCCGGCTCGATCCGACTTATATACTACCTGCAATAGAAAGACAACTTTTGGGAAATTTTCATGCAGATAGCTTTAAAACTGAGAGACTAGTTTGCGTAGAAACGGACGGACAGACGGACGGACAGACGTACATGGCTAGATCGACTCTCCTAGTGATATATAATACTTTAGGGTCGGAGATGTCTCCTTTACTGCGTTGCATAAAAATGCCACCCTTTATTTTAGAAATATAAATTAAACCCACGATAGGTTCAATCGAAATTATTTATTGATTTTATTAGCTGGGCTCGGAGTTGCAGCGATTCTGTATTACTGTCTTGCCGAAAGCTTGACTTCAATTTTTTGGACATGTTTTCGCTGTAGCTCAGCTGAATAGATAACGCGACGAATGTAGTGATATAAGAAATGCGAAGAACAATAATCATGCAAAGCTATATAACAGCCCTTCGTGCGCAGCGCACATCTATGAGCATTTGACTAGGTGCTGGCTGTCTGCTCTAAACATACAGCCCCCGTTGGAAGAGGCACAGTTCCAACCAGTCGCAGAGCGGTTAGTTTGGTGACGGCTCTTTTGGTAGGACCTGTAGCTGTCCATACCACAGCTACTCTGACGACGCCGTCCTTTCCGGGTATGTCTTCATGGATGCACCCAAGCTGTCATTTCATCGGTGGAAGGTTGTCCTTCTGAAGCAATACAACATGACCGATTTGGATGTTGGATGTTTTGATTCGCCATTTGCTTCGTTTTTGCAACAGTGACAAAAACTATGTGCTTCATCTTTTCCAAAAGTGCTGCTGCATTTGTGTTACTCTTTGCCTACTGCTTAATCGGCCTTCGCGAAGTGACGTAAGGCTTAGGAAACCTTGTGTAGCTGGAACTTTTTAGGAAATGCGCTGGCGTTAGCACC